CCCGGCCCGCCGCGGGAGGTAGCGCGGGGCTGTCTGGTGTCGTTGCGTTGGTTTCATCTCGGTGCCGTGCAGGTGACGTCCGGAAACCTCTGGCTCCCGGATCACCACGGAGGCTTTTGCGTGGTGGTAGAGACTGGTAGGGAGCCTTTGTGGGCGTCCGGAGCAGTAGAGATTTGCAGCGATGTGTTTGAAGGAACCTTCCTTGCGCTTGTCCTTCCCTCGCTGTCCCCTTCTCTCTTGAGGTGGGACCAGCTCTGTGCCAGACGTGCCCCGGACAGCCAAGACACGCTTGGGCTCCCTGCTGCTGCATGAGCTGTTAGGGATTGCCCTACTGCCTCGCGCTCATCCTTCCCCTTCGCACAAACGCATGGCACTCCGGGGGGGCAGGCATATAGATCACTTTAGCAGAAGTAGTTTGCTTTTTTGATTCTCTGGAGGCAGAGTGCAGGTTGGATCATCTTGCCTATGGTTTTACATATGTACAGGGCTGTCACTGTTGAATTGTCCAGATCAACCTTGTAATCCTCATGTCAGTAGTTGAACAGAGTGAAAAGGAGTTTGTACCATTTGCTTGGAAGTCAGAATAAAGGATGTGACACTCGAGGAACTTTTATTCAACAGTTTACCTTGTGACAAAGGATTGCTTGTTGTTGTTTTGAATGTGTGGGTGTTTTTGTGTGGGTTTTTTTTTTGGGGGGGGCAGGGGGGAACACTTGTTATATAGAAATTACCTGTGGATGCGTAAAGGCAGTTATCCGATACCTACTTTATTTGACTCTTTCCTTCCTTTACACTCTGCCTTATGGTCAGAAAATACCTGAAAACCTGCTTCTATTTACATTCTTGCTTTATTTTTACAAGGAGAGTATTAGATTTGGAGGTTCTGCAGCCTTCTTATAGAAAAGGTCTTCTCCACAGAACGTAGTTTGAATCTCTGTAACACATGTATTCCTCTTTAGAAAGGAGACGATAGAGGTGCACTAGGAGTCAAGTCTTCAGAGCGTTCTGATGTTGCAAATGCAGGAGTTATTGTAGGAGGTGTGTGTGTGTGTGTGTGTCTGTCCCGCTTTTCTGCCATGCAGAGTATGAACCTGATGCGGTTATTTCCCATTTCTGGCTTCGCTTTGGGGCCACTCAGAATTGCTCTTGCTGATTAGATATTGACCTTGGTAGTGAGTGAGAGGCATGCAACTTCCCATGGATTGCCAAGCAAGCACACAGAATAATACTAGTTTTGATTTTATTTATTTATTTATTTTTAATAGCATAGGGTGTCCTTTTGCATTCCTCACCTCTGATGCTATCCCAAGACACCCCCCCATTACTGGACTTTGGCCAGATCCTCAGTGTCACCGTAATCCCCTGCTGAAAGAGATGGGTACCAGGTGGCTAGTCTGTGGTTTGCCATATCATTCCTAGTTTCCCAAAACATCCTGCTCTTTATTCCTCTCTTGCCCTTGGATCTTGCGTACGCATGCGTGCACGTATACGTGCAGACACACCATGTTTATTTACACCATTTTTTATTGCTCTTCTAGGATTTCAGATGCATGCCAGGTTCCCACTGAGTGCCAGAAGCAGAGCTCACTGCAGATGGAGCCCCAAGGTCAGCATGGCAGCGGTGGTTCGTTGGTGGTGATCCAGCAGCCCTCCTTGGACAGCCGGCAGCGGTTGGACTATGAGCGAGAGAGCCAGGCAACGACGATTTTGTCACTGGACCAGATCAAGGCGATCCGGGGCAGCAATGAATACACTGAGGGTCCATCTGTGGTGAAAAAGTCAGGGCCACGGACAGCACCGAGGCAAGAGAAGCATGAGAGAACTCACGAAATTATACCAATTAATGTGAATAATAATTACGAACACAGGCCCAGCCATGGGGGGCACCCGGCACAGCAGCACCACGCCAGGGCTCCCATCCTGAGCAGATCGACGAGCACAGGGAGCGCGGCGAGCTCGGGAAGCAACAGCAGCGCCTCGTCGGAGCAAGGGCTGCTGGGGCGGTCACCTCCGTCCAGGCCGGGCTCGGGCCACCGGCCCGATCGGACGATCCGGACGCAGCCCAAGCAGTCCTCTCTGATCGTCGATGATCTGAAGGGTCCCTTGAAAGAGGACGTGACGCAGCACAAGTTCATCTGCGAACAGTGTGGGAAGTGCAAGTGTGGCGAGTGCACGGCGCCGAGGGCCCTGCCGTCGTGCTTGGCCTGCAACCGGCAGTGCCTGTGCTCTGCCGAGAGCATGGTGGAGTACGGCACGTGCATGTGCCTCGTCAAGGGGGTCTTCTACCACTGCTCCAACGACGACGAAGGGGACTCCTATGCGGATAATCCCTGCTCCTGCTCCCAGGCACATTGCTGTTCTAGGTACCTGTGCATGGGAGCCATGTCCTTGTTTTTGCCTTGCTTGCTCTGCTACCCTCCTGCAAAAGGATGCCTAAAACTGTGCCGAGGGTGCTACGACCGCGTCAATCGCCCAGGCTGCCGGTGCAAGAACTCCAACACTGTCTATTGCAAACTGGAGAGCTGCCCCTCCCGGGGTCAGGGCAAGCCCTCATGATTTTTGGAGGGAGGTTTGCTTCCTCCAGCTCTTACTTTCAGGTTGTAGCTGTTTTGTTTGGTTCTTCGCGCGCTTTCCTTTCTTTCTCCCCCACTTCTCCTACTTAAGTTCTTCCCTTTGCATCTCTACTCTCCTCCTGTTGCTCTCTTGGTCTCATCTCAGCCGAGCGTGGAGCGTTTTATGTGGTCGCTGCTGCTGCCTGGTACCCGCATCTGCCTCCCCTCTTCGGGAGGGCTTTCCGAGTCAGCCACTCAACCACTCCTGGAAGAGGCAGCGAGGGCTCCCTGGGCTCCTCTGTGGCCTCTTGCTCTGTGAATATCTTCCCAAAGATGTTTTTTTCTGTTCTCAGCAGTTCTTGTTAAGTTTTTGTTTGGTTTTTGTTCCTTTTAACCCCCGGGGTTCCAAGGAGTAACTGTTTCATGAGTGAGCTGGATTGTGATACAACGTTTTGTTTGCATCCTTTCTGGACTGGGATGCAAAATAAAGGCTTTACCAAAAGAAAGGCCTGACTCCTCTGCAAGCAACCTGTTTTTCCTTTTTTTTTTTTTTTTTTTTTTTTTTTTTTTTTCCCCTTC